GTATAGTGATGCGGATTGGAATACCCTATCAGATGACTCCAAGGCAACCAGCGGATATGTTTTTAACATCGCTGGTGGAGCTGTGTCTTGGAAGTCAAAGAAACAAACAATCCTAGCTCAATCAACTATGGAATCAGAGATGATAGCACTAGCAACGGCTAGTGAAGAAGCAAGTTGGTTGAGAGGATTGTTGTCAGAGATTCCCCTATGGGAAAGCCCGGTCCCTCCGGTATTGATACATTGTGATAGTACCGCAGCTATCGCTAAAGTTGAGAACCGGTTCTATAACGGAAAGAAACGACAGATTCGTCGTAAGCACAGTACTGTTAGAGAACTCCTAACGATAGGAGCAGTGAGGGTGGATCATATAAGATCCGAACAGAATCTAGCTGATCCTTTGACGAAAGGATTACCTAGAGAGAAAGTCCAGAATACCGCCAAGGGTATGGGACTTATGCCTACCGAACCATGGACTACAAGTGATGGTAACCCGACCCAATAGACTGGAGATCCCAAGAAATGGGTTCAATGGGTAATAACAAGTCATGAGTAGTATGCGAAAAGTTCATGCATTATGAAGCATGAATCCCAAAGCAATGGAGGTTGAGTTAATAACTCTTAATGAGATCTATACCCTATATGGGGTGGAGTACTTTACTTTGGGGGTACTCCTGATAGACTCACCTATGTGAATGTGGGAGTGGGGCCGCTCCCTATGGAACTTTGAGAGGCACAAAGTTGCTAGAGCGTTCACTAAACCAGGATAACGTGCATGGCCATAAACGCACGGGCTAAGAAGAGAACACACCTCAATGAAAAGATCCGGTGTGCTACACTGTCTGAGATAGGGTTCAAGACTACGATTCACCCTTATGAAATCGGAAGTGTAACCACTACGCTAAGGTTCAAATCTTCGCGATACCTTAGCTTATGCCCGATCTTATGGAACGGTTGATGCTCAGAGATAGTTTCAAAACTATTCAAGTGGGGGATTGTTGGAAATGTGTATGAATAGCTTTGAAAGCTATAGAGTCTCAAGTGGAAAAACTACCACATTGGTAGTTTTACTTGGTGAAATGAGTATAAAGATAGGAGCCTCTCTCCTAAGGGCATGCCCCTTGGGGTGACCCACTTTTGTGGGAAAGGGAGGACCTAACGGCCCACCACACACACACGCGCGCGCGCCGTCCGTCCGTCCGTCCGTCCCACCGACCGGTCGGTCGGTCGGTCGGTTGGTTGGATGGATGGATGGATCACTTGAGACTATATACATATTTTTTGGAGAAATTCCTAACGAAATTAATTATTTAATTATTAATCGGTTATTCTGAGGAATATTCCAAGGGATAATCGATTGAAAAGGAATATTCGAAGGATAATCTCCGCAGGATTTATCCTAACCAACGGTTTTAATTAAGGAAGTAATTATCTTCCTTAATTAATCCGACTTATTCCCCAAGCAAGAGGGTATATTCCTAGGGGTTCAGCTCCTATAAATAGCCGCCTCCCCAGCCCCTCTAAACACACTACAACGAGCATAAACACAATAGAGAGAGTGTTCAGAGAGCTCCGGTTTTCGCACAAAACCGCGAGTACACAGAGGAGCTGTTTTATCCTGGAGACGACCGGTTGATAGTCTGCCGTGCGCATCGAGGGCAGTGCCGCGAACGACTTAAAAAGAGCGACCTAGTCCGCGACTCAGCTCCAGATTCGGTATCCTCAGTCTTGTTGTTGTTCCGTTTTTAACATAATCTCCCATCTCTTATCTCTTGTCTTTCCCTTTCCCAACTACCCCCAAAGAACCAAATTTCTTCTTTCTCCCCATCGTTTACTTTCTCCCTCCCTACCCCAAATTCCCGCCGGTGAGAGGGCAAAGAAGTTGTAATCAAGTGAACTGAACGACATGGCATTTGAATCGACTCCGAAAGTGAATCCGCTAAGACATGAACTAGAGAGGCAATGACGAGTCGACGACGACAACATCGGCGGTGCACACGACGTTGATTCTGCTCGAGACGACGATGACTGCCGGGAAGTTGACCGGCTGGAGATGGCGGTGACCCTGGAAAGGGCGACGTTGGCAGGAGCTCAGATCCGAGCAACCTCTACTGACGACTGCGACGATAACGATTCAACAATGTCGGCGGGCGGACGACGATGATGATAAGAGGAACGGCGGCTTGTTGAGGACGCTGACGAAGGCTTTACTCGGCGTTCGACGACTGTTGTTGATGGCGGTCAGCGTTGACAAGGACAACGATTGCGCTGCTAATTCTGGTGACGGCCTTGAGACCTAGACGGAAGAGATAATGTCGACGGTGGCCTGAGATGGAGTCAGTGAAGATGAAGAAGAGGAACAATCGCGGCCTCTGCCATTTCTTTCTCCTCGCTGATAATAATTTTTTTATTTATTAAATAATTAATATGATAAATCATATACACAAAGTGGAATGATGAGATGAAAAATATATTTATTTTTTAATTTTCACATTATCTAGTTAACAGTCAAACTTTATAGTTAACTGTCACATAGGACAAATTTAACGGAGTGTAACAATCTGTGACTAATGGTGAAATGATTCGTAAAGTTAGTGGCAAATAAGAAAGAAAGAAAGTAATTCGGGTGGCAAAATTGAAAATTTTGTATAATTTGAGTGACCAAACGTGCAATTTAACCTTTTAGAGTGAGAAAATTCAGGAAACTCAAAAGTCTTTTGTTTTTGTCATAGATATTCCAAAAAGGAAAAGACAGATACAAATTATCACAATATATACGGCCTTTACAAGCCAAATCATAAATAAAGAAAAGACCTTTGCAGGTCTGATAATAATAGGCCTTTTCTGCCACGATATGGGCAGCTCTATGGTACCTGAACGACATGGGAAATTTCATGATTTCTTCCCTTAAAAGGATCAAAATCATAAACTAACCATGTTTAAAATTGAAAAAAAGAAACAAATCCTTGTAGATCTGGCAGAATGACTACGCTCCGTATAAGCAACTTCACTTGCAAAATAAACAAACACATAAGCTAAAAAAGCAACAACAACATTACAGGCGACAAAATGATAATCAAGGTCGATAATTGCTGGAACAAATCTCCGTAAGAAGCTTCCACTAAATAGCTAATTATTGGAACAAATCTCCTTTCTCGATGACACATTGTTGTACTAATTGCAGCTTTCAACAGGTTTAGTCCAAAAGCAGTAAGAGGTTCACCTGCAAAACCAAAACACACCTCTATGTTTATACCGCGTCACTTATGTCCCAACGTTTTAGCTCCGTTAACTTTCACTGTTAGTTGTCTATGGTCAATGTATTGACCAGTGATTTGTCACATGATGTGGATTCTTTTGTCATGTCACTTAAGAAAAAAGTTGACGGACCGATAGCGGAAGAGGGTGTAATTTTCAACATCGTCGGGGTTTCTTGGGGATAGGAAAAGGAGTGTGTTCGCCGGTGCCGTGAGTTGGGATTTGGGGTCAAACTAACTTTGACCGTCGTTTGGTCGACTGTTAAGTATAACAGTCAACAAAACGACAGAGGAAATTATGCACATGGAGACTCTAAATGTTGGGACATAAGTGACGCGGTATAAACATAAGGTACAAGTGACCCAAACCTTAAACTACGAGCCCTTTTCTAGTATTAGGCCTATTTTTTATGAATATAAAAGTTAAAAGTTGATGTAATTTGTTACATTCAAGTATAAAGGTGTAGATATTGACATCAAATGTTGTATTTAAATAAGGATATTTGTTATTTTATTTGGATTGTTATATTTTATTAAGACGATACAAACAGACACAAACTGATTGTACCACTGGTCGTACAATTCCACTTGTTAAACAGGCACAACGGTATTAACTACTCTAACAACGTTGTTAACTATACAACTTTTGTACCTTCTAAGAAAAAGAAAACTCGATATGTAACTTTCCAGTTTCGATTTTTTTTTTTTTTTGGAGATGGGCCTCGGGGATGGGCTTAAGGCCCAATGGCAACTGGAGCACGGCTGCTGGAAACACGAAAAGAAATGGAGGACGACAAAGGGGCGGAGGTAACCACGTGAAGCCACGTGAGAGTGTCACGCAGACGCAGTCATTTGCCTATTTGTTGTCACGTGAATGAAAATATACCATTACACTAGCCCTCTGTTTTTTAAAGAGGGAAAGGGAAGGGGAGGGAAGAATGGGGAGGAAAGTCCCATTCCCAATGCACTTCACCCTATTTCCGAAATAAGCTACAAGAAGGGAGGAAAGAAAGTTAAGTGGACATTTCACTATGCAATCCTACCCTCCATTTTGGAGAGAAAACCACTTTCCTTTATTTTGTTCTTTTTTCCGTTAGTTTATCATTTCATTTGGCTTTTCTTCTTTATTAGTTTTTCTTTCTTTTCCGTTACTTCTTTTTCTTCCTCTTACCTGTTCTTCATTTCCGTTCAGTTTAATAGATTTCTTTCCTTTTTTGCTTGTGCATTAGGTCTCATAATAAATTGTGGTGTAATTAAAAAGGAGTATAGTGATTGAGCGAGTCCATAATTGAAAGGATTTATAGTATGGTAAGCAACAGGGTATGGAAATCGGTGATGATATCTTTTATTTGTTATAGTTTTTTTTCTGGTACAACTTCCGACATAAATTGCAATCATTGCTTAGTGAACGAAATTATAATAAAGAATAATTTTTATCCATAATTAATAATTATAAATAGTATAAACATATAATTCAATTATTACACTATTACATTGTGTAAAATGGTGGTAGGCGCGTAGCAATATACTAGCTTACTTGTGGAATAGAGTGGTATAATTGGTTCAGTACTGTATACCTATAAATATATAGAGAATGTGTATTAAGGAAATGAAAAAATTAAGAATTATACTTTATTATGGAGCTTAAGAAATTAATTCAGGCGACAAAAATAGAGGAAATGAGAAAAATACAAATGGAAAGAAAAGAACTAGAGAAGAGAAGACAGCACGAAAGGCAGGTAGAGAGAAAGAGGGGAGGGAATGAAGAAGCCAGAGAGTGGCTTCCCTCATTGGTGAAAAAACATAAAAAAAAGGGCAAAGCTTTCTCAGCAACCCACCTCCCACACAGTCGAAGAAGAAGACACGACACGGTGGCGCCTACTCGCCGGCGAATCAGACAGGGCAGAACCCTCGAAATTCCCATTCCTTACTGACAATTCTCCAGGTTTCCCCACTTTTTTGTTTCTTTGTTTCTTTCTTTCTTTCTTTCTTTCTCATTGAAGAAGACATTTTTGAAAAAAAATAATGGGAAGGGTCGTTCGTTCCTTTTGACACTGGTATATATACAGCCGCCTCTCTATCGTCTCACAAAATGAAATTGTGAAAATGGGTATAGAAATTTGGGAGTTCTGGCGTAAATCTGAATTGTCCGAATCAGGTTTCTGAGGGAATTTAAGTTTGTAAATGAGAGGTAAGGGTAACCAGAATCATCTAGAGAAAGACGAGTACAAGGATGAGGACTTGGTGGCGGCCGGTTCCAGAAAAGATGGACCTTCGTCCAATATCTCTACTACTAACAGCAACACAACTAGCAATAACAGAGGTACAATTTGATTTGATGGGCTTCTTTTTTCCAGCCCCTTCTAGATCCAGCTCTGTTTTAGTTTGCCTTTATTCCCTTTTGAGAGTTTGAACCTTGTTTATATGCTTCTTCGTTGGTGGGGAAAGTACTGAATTTTTACTTCTGGCCATGGGAAAAGCTTGGAGCTTTGTTTTAATAATTATGCATATTCGAAAAACTGGGGGTTGTTGAGCTTCCCTCTAGATATCTTTCAGTATTATCAAGTTGCTGATTTCTGGTGTCTTGATGTGGGATTTTGGTGTGGCAACAGATGGGAAGAACAGTGACAAGGTTAGTGCCATGAGATCGAAACATTCTGTTACCGAGCAGCGACGGAGGAGTAAGATCAACGAAAGGTTTGTAACTTGTTCCTCCATTGTTCTAACCTTTTCTTTAGGTGCTATTGGGTTGTTGAAAACTTATGTTTATCCTAGACTTCAGACTTTTCCATTGAGGAACTGTTAAATAGGCTTGAATTATGAAAGGGGGTATCTAACTTAATCAATCACAATCTCAATGCCTTTCAGATTTCATATACTTAGGAAACTTATTCCTCAATGTGATCAGAAGAGAGATACAACATCCTTTCTATCAGAGGTAACGTTTAACAAGGCTAGTGAATGATGTCTACTTATATATTTTGGGTTTACAGAACCTTTTCTTCTGTTAAACAGAAATCAATGTACAGGTGATTGAATATGTCCGGTACTTGCAAGAAAAGGTGCAAAAGCATGAAGGTAACAACCAGGGGTGGAGTACTGAACCAACAAAGTTGATGCCATGGGTAAAGTTCCAAGTCTTTTTCTTTCTTAGTACATAATTTTCACCTGCATGTCTCTGTGCCACCACCCCTATTTACATTTCTGATACCATCTCTTAGTTGAACCTACATTTCAGTTTGGCTTGGCTCACGTAACATGTTACGACCTTGCGTGTCATATTACTGTTTTATTTGGCAAGTGGTTTGTAGGGCTCTACCACCACAATGTTGGTGCGCTCCATCATTCCTTAGGTTCTCTGAATCCATGGTCTTGTGTCTTTAAATTTGCACATGGAACATAGTTAAGAGAAACAAGGAAAAAGGACATCTTAACATTTGGCATGTTTTAGTATCCTGATAATGGAGACTTTCTTATTCTTATTGAAGCTCTTTTCCTCCCCCCCCCCCCCCCCCCCTCCCTCTTTTGTCAGTCATGTGATGTGTTCTTTCTACTTGCTTAGAATTCCCTTCGACATGTGGTATCTTGTTGGTTTCTTGTCTTTAGGGGTCATTCAGTTCTGGATTTATTTCTTAACTCATGCTGGGTGTGATTGGAGTTTATTATTTATGTACACTTTAAAAACTTATGTTTATTAGTGAGACGATTGACACTGGTTTGCATCCCTTGAAACAGAGGAATAGTCATTGGCGAGTTCAGAATCCACAAGCTATAAATAATGGTTCTGGTTTAGGGCCGGTGTTCCCAGGGAAATTTGATGAGAATAACATTGGTGTTACCCCCACCATGCTTGCAACTACATAGAATACTCCTGCGGAACCTGACCCTTCACAAGATGCCGCATGCAACAAAGTCGTGGATCAGCAACAACCTGACATAGCAAACAAGGGTTTCCCTCCTCCCATCAGGCGTTTACATACAACCATGCCTCTCCAACAATCGTATTCAGATCCGCAATCATCTGAGTATCCTGTGAGTGGTGATTCACTGAACCAAGCGGAGGAACTGAGTATAGAAGGAGGCACAATCAGCATCTCTAGTGCCTACACTGAAGGGTGGGTTTCATTCTTTCTAAAAATGCATGTTTCCACTTTTGTGTCTAATTCCTAACGATTGTGGCATTCTGGGTTTATCAGGTTGTTGAATGCCTTGACACAAGCACTACAAACTGCACGAATAGATCTCTCACAAGCAAACATGTCAGTGCAAATTGATCTTGGGAAACGAAACAACATAGGGTTGGCTTCTGGAACATCAGCTAATAAGGTAAAAATTACACTATCAGGATTGGATGGATCTTTATCGAAGAGCCATACATGTTAAATTTGGATACATGTTTGGCCTATAATGTTATCGTATCTTATTTCCAGGATATTCAGAACCCTGCTGCTAACCATCAAACGACAATTCATCTGAGAGATGTAACTGGTGCAAGAGAGTCTGGCCACGTCCAGAAGCGCTTGAAGACTTAGTCTTTGCTCTGGTCGTTTGAGTTTCTTCTAGGGTCCTTTTTCTGGGCTTTGTAAATGGTTCTTTTCATTTATTGGTTCTACTGGCCACTTGAATCAATGGTTATTCATTCTAAGACCTCTGAGGTTATATAAATATATGTTTGCTTAACTCGCTCCAGCTTCACTTCCCAATCTTGTACTGATCAATCAAGCTCAACAGAAGCTTTCTGTCAATTGACTCGATTCTAATGGTTCTTCTGAATCCCAGATACTTTTTTCCGAAGAGCAACCAACCCAAGAGATTCAGACCATTAGGAAAGGAAACAGAAGTCATCAGCAGCAACTAGTTAACAAGCTTTATTTCTATATTGATACTTGTGAATTTCGATGGCCTTCAGCAGCATATGCCATGTTCCCACTGAATTTCAAAGCGAAGATTTCACTCTCCACCGCGACAATGAAGTCCAGAGCTGCCATTGCATTAGAATGGTTTTGAAACTGGCTGAGATCTTAAAGATCGAACAGTGTTTCCTTTCTGACCTGCATTTCTTCATGTCATAAAGAAGGAACCGGTAGACAAACAAACCATGGGATTTGAACAGTGGGAAAGTAACGATACCAAGTTTGGAAAAGCTTCTGCCAGCTTTGCTATTCTGGCTTCTCCTCCATAGATTTATCTGAGTCCCCAGTGCCTGCAATAGTGCAATCCCAATGCTAATTTATCAGGACATCAATGGACACAACCCTGCTTGCCTTTTCTTGCCAGGATCTGCTATGCTCTTCCACCAAGGGTAAGTTTTCCTGTTTAATTTTGTTTAAAAACTCGAATCACAATCTTCAAGAAGCATTTGGAAAAGCTATTAACTATCTGGCTTGCTGACCTCGATCCCATCACCTCCACAATCTCATCATGAGAGAAACCAACAGTGGTACCAGTGAAGGACAACATATCGATCTCGTATCTCAGATGAAGAATGACCCTTCTGCTTTGATCTTCATACTATCTTTCTTCCAATCTCCTTGGTATTTTGGGGTGAATCTCAATGCTTCTTGGCAGGCTTGACATCTAGTCTTTTGGAACTCTACAGGTGGTCCATTGTTTGCAGTCCTTGCATCTGCTTTCAGGAAATGCAGCACTTTGTGCTTTTGTATATCTCACACTTCACCCACAACATAGAGTGCAGATTGTCTTACATGCTCTATAGAAATTCGCTAGCACGCTCTATATAAAATATGTCATACTGAACTCACATCCTGGATATATCAAAGCTTGTTCTGAATGATCCGTTCTAGCATGTGTCTTGCATCAGAAGAATTTGGATATGAATGTAAGATCTGTTGTTGTGAATCTTATATTCACAACCAGCCTCGCATTGTTCGTTGAACATTGCACTTGAGTCTCTCATATAGAAACATAGCAAGTTGTTCTTAGCAGTAATGAACTTTATAAAATTAAAACCACTCAATCAAGCGCCAATTGCATTTTTATTTTATATGTTATCAGTAGGTGACAAAATGACAAAGCCTTTTAATATTAATGGCTAACCACTTGCACTTAGGAAAAGCAGGACAGTTTTGGTTAAGTTGGAGATAAAAGTCTGAAAGGGTTTCCTAGAACAGATACAAAAGGAGAGAGAGATGGTTGAACTAGGGATTTTGCTGACCTTCCTTTCTCCATGTCTGTGTTTATACTTGGTGTTGATCATCAGCAGGTTTTTTATCAGGGTATGGTGGACTCCGATTCGGGCACAGTCCAAAATGAGGGCACAAGGAATCAAAGCCCCTTCTTATAGATTTATCCATGGAAACACCAAGGAGATAAACCTGATGAGGATTGAAGCTGCAAAGCAAACCATGGAACTCTCCCACCATATCCTTCCAAGGCTACAGCCTCATATCTACTCATGGATCAAGCTCTACGATAAGCATAAAAGGGTTGCCATGATTCAAATCTAGATATTCTCATATCATCTTTCATTCTTTTGATATTATGCTGAAGAATTGGTCCACCCCAAATAACCCAAGTTCTTGAGAGAGGGATCTAAGGGTACATAAGAAGCTTTTGCCACCACTCAATAGAAACTTCACGTACAGTCTACTACAGAAAAGAGTTTCTTCACTGGAAAGTCACTGTGAAGCTGAACGATGAAGTTTAATTGTTTTTTTTTTTTTCAGGGAAAATTTTTCTGCAGTGGCATGGCACTAGGTCTCAGCTAGTTGTCACTGAACTTGAGCTGATTAAAAGAAGTGCTCAATAATAAAGATGGAACATACGAGAAGACACCTTTTCATAATTTCATCAGAGTTCTTCTAGGCGATGGACTTGTCTTGTCTAGAAGTGACAAATGGTTGAAGATGCGCAAACTGGCAAACCATGCCTTCCATGGAGAAAGCTTGAAGGTTTGATGAAGTAAACCAATTAGAGCACAATGGGAACTATCCCCCAACTTGATAGTAATATTTTTTTGTTGAACATTCGTCTTTCAGGGTATGGTTCCTGCGATGATTGCTAGTGTGGAGATGATGCTAGAGAGGTGGAAGAACAATCATGGAGGGAATAATAAGGAGATTGATGCATTCCAGGAGTTCAAGATTTTAACATCAGAGATAATTTCCAGGACAGCTTTTGGCAGCAGCTACGTGGAAGGGGAGAAAGTGTTTGAACTGCTGATGAAGATGGTTCTCATTATCTCAAGAAACCACTACAAGGTCAGAATTCTTGGTCTCAGGTGAGGTTTTTCCCAGTTCTGAGCTTGTTGAACCTTGAGAAATTTTGGAGTGGTAATAAGAAGTGTCGAATGGTGGGCCAAATTGGTTATGGTTCAATTGGGTTATCTGTCAATCCGATTAGAAGTTGTTCAGGTTGTGAGCTTCTCAGAAAATGGTTGCAGGTTTATTTGATAAGAGGTACATTGTGCTTGTCGTCAGCTTTAATAGATTAGGCTTAATTCTTTTGGACAATTTGAAATATTCAAAGGTGTTGGAAGAACATGTCATATTTTGTTCAGGCCGAGTTAATCAGATCTCAAGTAGATTGGAGTCACTTTTCAATTGGGTCACGAGTCAATTCAATCAACTAGGTTGTGGGTTACTGGTCAACTAGGCAATTAGTAGATCAAATCGCAACGATAATCGAGTTATGGATTGAGCGAATTATGGGTCATCGGCAGGCGAGTTGGGTCGGATTGGGCCAGTTTGTGTGGGTCAAATTAAATAATTCTCTTAATACTTTGACATATTCTGCTGAACCATTTTTAGAACTAGCGATGAGAATGAATCTGACAAGCTCCAACAAGAGATCAGGGCCATCATCATCAACATGTTGAACAAAAGGAAAGAAGAAGAACAACTTACTTCTCCTGCCACTGATTTCCTTGGACTGCTTGTCAAGGCCTATAATGGTCCCGACAGAACAGTAGCATAACATTGGATGATCTGATTGATGAATGCAAGACCTTTTATGTGGCTGGCCAAGAAACAACAGCAAGCTCACTCACCTGGACTGTGCTTCTACTAGCTATTCACTCAGAATGGCAAGAGAAGGCAATGGAACAGGTTCTTGAACTATTTGGCAACAACAGAACTCCAACTCTTGATGGCATTTCCAGATTAACAATTGTAAGTAGAATATCAAACACTGTTTTTCCTCTTCGACTTCATTGATGTGTAGTTTGGATGTCGCCATGACAGATTTTAACCATTCTGATTCATGCTTCTTTTTTTGCATAGCTGAGTATGGTGATCAATGAGTCCCTGAGGCTATACCCTCCAGTTTTCCACATAACGAGGGAGGTCCAGAGGGAAGTGAAATTGGGGAAACTAATACTTCCAAAAGAGATTGAAGTCTACATCCCAAATCTGGCAGTTCATCATGATCCAGAAACATGGGGTGAAGATGCTCACCTGTTTAAACCAGAGAGATTTGCTGATGGCATAGCAAAGGCCAGTACTGCATACAGCAACTCATCTGCAGCATTTCTTCCATTTGGGTTGGGGCCTCGAACTTGTGTTGGGATCAACTTTGGCATCACCGAGGAAAAGATTGCACTCTCCATGATTCTGCAGCGTCACAGGTTTAGGCTCTCAGACAAGTATGTACACTCACCAGCTCATGTTTTGACCATCTGTCCCAAGCATGGCCTCCAAATCATCCTTGAGGAACTTTGAGATGACCGAGTTGAGCAGATGATTGGGTGGAAGGTTAACCGGTTTATGGAGTCGGAACCCAGTTGGGTAGAAGTTTGGTTGATAAATAAGCTAAAACACAAAAGGTTGATGTTAACAAATATGACATGTTGGGAAACGAGATGGGTTCTATAGAAGTGTGATTCCGGTCTCCTCTTTTCCTCTGAAGGCGGCTCTTTCAATAACCTAACATCATCTGGTAATGACCTGATGAAGTAATCTGTATCAAAGATATCCTCGAATGAACTGTTATTGCAACACAACCTGGAATCAATGAACCTACTTTCATGCAGTCAAGGCAAAAGAATTGTAGGGTGTTTGAACAATTGAGTGAGGTATCATTTTACCTCTGATCATGCCAATAGGATGTGTTATCTAGCACAGGAACTGTAAGCATGACTTTCAAGAATCTAGCAATGGCAACCATGTCACAGATCTTATTTTTGTTAGAAAAGGGCAGCAGGCCAGATCAGCTAATCTAGAGATGATTAAGGGAACTTAGCAAGACAGGCTTACACCGGTTCTCATTAGGTTCAACCCGCCATTGCACGAGACCAAGAATGGACTTACTTGTTGGTACCACAGATGGAATGTTAAGCCATTGCTTTAATGCTTCGAATCGATCCTTCAGTGTTTCCAACTCCATCGTACAGATGCATGCCCCCACAACGATTGCAGATATTAGTAAACACAAGTTTGATTGTATTAATGGAAGAGAATAATTAGGTGGAGGAGCAACTGTTGAATTTTTCAATGTTTCAGCTTTGCACACTGGCCTAGTCTTTTTCTTCTCTAGGAAGTCAGCAGACTCCCATCGTTCAGCTTTATCATCCTTGTCCTTCTGAGCCATTATGATAATACCTAAAGTATTGAAGCTACCTTACCAAAGTTAGAGGCTATCTCCCGGCTCGAACCCAGGAAATGATTCCTGGAAACAAAATTCAAGGAATCACCTCTGGCTAGGGCTGGGCATGCGGGCGGATTATCCGCGGGTTTGGGCCGACCCACCCGCATTTGACCCGAATTTGGTTAAGTGGGTGGGTCTGTGGGTGGGTGACGGGTTGCGCTGGGAGCCATCCGCCGGGTGGTGGGTGGGTTGTGGGTGAGTGTGCGGGTGACCCGCTCAACCCAACAGCAAAAAGATCAAAGTCGTTGGCGCTAGAGAGAGGAGAGTGGAGACGTTAGATATAAACTCGGACTGCTCCTGGAGTTTGAACCTCAAAGCCAACCTTCCAAATAGAGATCCCCTCTTCATCCCTTTACTTTTCCCTCTAATTCTTGTGCTTAAATCACCGCTCTTTCCTTTGTGGAATTATTTTCATTAGTTCCTTGCACCTAATAATCGTCTCAATCTGTAGAAAACTCTTTCATAATAGAATTTCTATCCAAGTTAAGAACTAATTCGATATTTTTCGCCCTATTTCAACTTCTTGTTTCCCTCGATGATTTTCTTCACCTATTATCATGTCAAGTTGACTCCTTTATATTATATACATTGTGATGTGGGTGAACCCACAAACCCACCCGCATCATCCACCATCCGCCCGACCCAACCCGAGACTAAATGTGGGTGGGTGGTGGGTTAAAAATTATCAATCCGTTTAAGCGCGGGTGGGTGCATTTTATGGTCAAAATCCACCCGACCCACCCAATGCCCACCCCTACCTCTGGCAAACAGCATGAGTGACAATTTTTTTTGGGTTTATTCTCTCAAATTAAAAGGTTTGAAGATGCATTGACGAGGCTTGGAATTTTTTTTTCATATTGTTTCCTGTCTTGAAAGTGAACATGGAGCATTAACTGATTGAGGTTACCATTCCTAAACATCAAAAAATTAAAACTAGTGTTGATTCATTTGAATAGACTACAAACTCAAAGCATAACCAGTCACAGCATTCTGATAAGATCCTTAAGAAATTCTTTTGGCAGCTCTTCTTATGCTTCCATTCTTCATCTACTATTGATCCCAGAAAAAAGGTGATGAACATGTTATAGTTAATCGTTAAAATGCATGAAAGAAATTACACGTCAAATTCATCTTGTACCAATAACTTGAGATCCCAACAACTGTTGGAAGACTTGACACTGAATCTTCACTACAACAGAAATGGGCTTTTGTGACGAGAGAAAATGGTCACGGAATGTCAAATTTTAGTCACAATACAAAACTAGTGACCAAAATTTTTTGGTAGAAGCTTTGGTCATATTCGCTCCGTTAGGAAAAGTAATTCTGACCAAAATTTGGATTTGGTCACAATTTATTATGATTTGTGACGAAAATTTGAAATGGTCACAAAAATTATTTTTAATGTGACCAAGGTAATTGGTCATAAAAAACTGTCAATATCGTCACCAAATATATGCAATTGGTCACAAATCTTATAAAAGCTAACCAATTTATGTATCTTTTACCGACCAAATGAAGAGGTCACAAAGTTAATAATTTATAACCAATAAATTTGGTAATTAAAATATACTTCACAACTAATTTAGGTAACCAAAAGTATTGGTTATGAAACTCTTATCAGTTATCACAGCCATTAATTTATGGGCACCATATGTTGTAATTGTGACCAATAGTTTGGTCCTTATAAGTATATGTAACCGATTTGCTTGTTATGAAGTGATCGTTATACTTGTGAGTTGTGACCAAAAATTATTTCCAGAGTTGTGACCAAAAATTATTTCCAACCAATATTTTGTGTTATTAATTGTTCTACACATGACCTGATTTGAACAACGATTCATAATTATGACAAGATAAACCAATTTATTCATACCAAAACAACAACTTTACATTAGTCAAAAGGAAATCGTTTTCAAGCAATTTCTTTGGCCAATGTGAGTTTTCGAGCTCTGTTCATAAATAAATAGAAAATAATTTGCCGCTTCAAGCCCTTCTCGTGAACAATCTCTTGCATATGTAAGTTTCAATGTTGTTACTTTAATGGCACCATCAACCATGCTATGAGGCCTAGCCTGCAAAATCAAGAGAAGGCAAGTCAAGAAATGTCAAAGTCTAAACACAATTCCAACAATGTATCTCAAACTAGTTGAAATTTTACTATCATAAAAAAAATAGCAAAAGAAGAAACCAACCTGCTGAGGATAATTAGAGAATGTAGCAAATCACATTGCCAACTCCATTGAGCCTGACTCCGAATCCCAGAAGAGTAAGAACAAATAAGAACCCATAGATCAACAACATTGGCAATTGAAGGACACGAGTTACAAACACCGACAATGAGAAATATCTAGAATCTTCATCCTTTTCAATAATAAGCACTTACTCATCATTAGAGTGTCCCGGTCATTTACTTTGATCCACTCCCATCTCTGCTTGAATCTATCTGTAAGACCGGATATTATAAGAAAATTAGTTCACTTGCCACAATCTCACTAATGTAAATCCTCATTAGCTTTCCAAAAAGGAGGCAACTAAAAAATGAAATATCCACATCCGAATCTCACCTTCTCGAGTGTATAAAGTATAAACTTTACATTCCCATCCAAAAGCTCAACAACTCTCAACTCAGCGACTCTGTTGACACATGGGTACTGTTTGAACTATAAACACCAACAAGTAGGCGCCATATAAAACCAAATTTAACCTTATATCCCTCTTTTCATTTGTTGTCCTTCAGTTCTACAGTGGAGCACGATATTAGATTTCTCCTAATATAACACTTGAAATGCATTGGGGCAAAATACCTGTAACCAATTACCTTTCCTTCGCTGGCCCTATAGATTCAAATGATTCCTCGTGTCCAAATGATCCCTGGCCTTTCCCTATATGGACAAAATTTAGAGCCCCAACAAGATTTAATTTTAATAATGCCAAACACTATCACAACACTACTCACAGACAGACTTGAGCAGAATTCTTACATTGGATAGCCTAATCTTCCATCTCCAGGTCCCTAAAGGGAAAGGGGAGAAAAATAAGACACTGATAATAGGGATGACAACAAAACCCGAACCCACGGGTACCCACCCGATCCAACCCGGTCAACGCGGGTAAAATCCGTGTTGACGGGTTTTGGGCCGGGTTTGGGTTTAAACCCGTTCACTATTCACCGGGTTGGGTTGGGTTGGGTTTGGGTTTAAGTAAACCCGGCCCGTGGGTACCCGCCCACCCATATAATTATTTTTTTCGGTATATTTAATATTCTAAACAACTAATCTTATTTATGTTTGTGGAGACATGTCTAATTTTTTCTTTTTAATTGTGTAGAATGAAGTTGATGTTATGGAGTGGAGAGTAAAGAAACTTAATTGAAAAGAAGAAGCTTTCAATTAAACATGTTATTTATGGATAATTTGTGATTTGCTTCAATTTTCTTGAGTTTTCTAGATTGGTGTTGAACAATTTGTATAGTTAATTTGTGATTTGCTTGAATTTTCTAGAATGGTGTTTTATATAGATAAGTTGTATTGAGAAATTGATATTTGACTTTAATTTTGATAAGAACTTGTAATTGTAAATTTTTTATGACAAAACCCGTGGGTACCCATGAACCCGCGGATACCCAACGGGTTGGGTTGGGTTTGAGTTTTTCAAACCCAGTGGGTTTTACGTTTACCCCGGGTTTTTTTCAAAGATAAACCCATGGGTTTGGGTTTGGCAAAACCCGACCCAACAAACCCAAACCCGACCCAACCCGACCCATTGCCAATCCTAACTGATAACCTGGAGATTTCATTACGCATCAAACATATTCAGTAGCCCCTCCATCGACCCATGCCATTAATGCTCCAATCAAAAAAAAAGCATAAACAATACAAATAACATATCCAGAGTTTAAGTTAGTTTACCCCCTAGTTGCTACTAGGGATGGCAATTTACCCACCCATGGGTAATTTTGCCCAAACCCAAGTAGACCCATTTATTATGGGTAGGGTTTGGGTGATGTGTGTATGGGTTTGGGGTTTGGGGTTTGTATATGGGTTTGGGTTAGATATGGATATTATCTAAATGGGTATGGGTTGGATATGGATATCCTTTTACTTGAGGGTGTTTTAACTACACATGCAAAAATTGGACTTATTTGTAAAACTTGAAAATTTTAGGTACCAAAATGTAAGACCAAAAAAATTTAGGTACCAAAACGTAATTTTCCATCGATATTTTGAGGACTTATATGCAAAAAAAAATTAAATTTAGGTACTAAATATGCATATATATTAAGTTTAGGTACCAAACTGTAATTTGTATTTGGGCATGGGTACAAACCCAAATCCATTTCTTATAAACCCAACCCAACCCAAAATAAATGGGTATGGGTACAAACCCATCAAACTTTACCCATATCCATATATTTGGATTTCATACCCAACCCAATTGAGTTGGATAGTAAAATACCCATGGGTATGGGCAAAATTGTCATCCCTAGTTGCTACTTCAGTTTAACTTCAGCTTCATTATCACCTTATAGTGAATAGCAATCAATCTGCAACCACGAAAACAGAGGAGATTCAAAACTTGTTATGCATAGAAAGCACCACTAGTGATGAAGTAGCAGACATGCTAAGAGGAAGCATTACCAGGGAACCAATGTCAAACTAAGAAAACTAGGCATTGTCAGTCACATCATCCTGTAAAATGTTCAGCTTGAATTATCCGTTAAATGCCAAAAATATCACAAAAGTAGTACGGTGCTTTCATTCGCAAAAAAGCTGACAAAGACACTATACAACAACCAACTTTACCTTTAGTGATTTCTTTGAGCTCCTGTTCTCATCCAAACTGAACTGATGCCAGATATATATCATGAAGCGCTTGCTTTGAAATGCCAGTTGAAGAAATCAACTGGGTTTACTCAACTACCCTTTCACTATGAGCACTGAAGCACACCTTCTACAATTCCCAGATAGATCCATATGGACGCAAGGGAAAGGATTTTAAGTTGAAGAGAATCTTACATTAGGAATAAGAGAAGGCCCTTCAAAGTTGCTATATAAGTACTTGATCAAATCAAGAATCTCCCCCATGATTTTGCCATTATGCTCAACTGATGGGACCTTAAGAACAAAGCAACAATTAGGGGAAATCTCCAAACTTCACTAACTGTTGAACCTATACTTCATTCTGAATAGCCTGTTGAGTTGAAATACCACTAGATGGCACATCCAGACCATCCATTAAGCTCAAGAATTTTGAATAACTTCCACTCTTCTCCATCATCTAAAGGAACAGTTCATTACATTCACTTTGTGGATTTCAATGAAATTTTAACTTTGCCAGTTAATTATCAGGGATGGCATAAACCCATACCTCATTGTTCTTATCTGGATGTTCCCGGACAACTAGTTCAGACTGTTGATCAGTGAAAGCAGACTCCATGTCCATTGTTAAGGTGTATCCAGACTCTGTCATTCTTCATGGCTAAGAAAAACATTCCATTACTCAAGAGGAGCCTGCTGAAAGAAACACAATAATTAGCTCACCATGTTATCTTTCAAGTCTTGAATATTTCTGGTCAGCTTCAGAACGTTAAGTTTCAAAGACTGCAAACAGAAAAAAGTATATCAAGTAGATTAGACATCAGGGTTCAAGTATCTATGACAATGTTCTTACTGGCTAATATATACAATGATAGCAATAACCCTTAATGACTCTTTCCAATGTCACTAGTATTCCACACTCTTAGCTTCCAGTCTTTGCTACTTGTTGAGCGGTCTCAAAGTCCCTCTCCTTGCATATTAGCTTCACAAGTTCTCTATATTTCCAGTCAGATTCACCTTCTCAACCGTTCCATCAAATACCACCTTCTACCTGATAATGAAAGGAAAGTACTTGTAACCAACAACATGAAAAGGAGTTTATAGCCGATTTCTCTGTACTCTCTTTACTTGAACTCGCCTAACAGAATAATACTCTTTCCTTCACTCATACCCTGTAACTTAAGAACTTGTAACCATCAAATACCCCCCTTCCTAAGCATGTATCTCTCTTCTTCGCTCATACCCTCTATGTCCACCTCCGTGAATTTGGCATTGCTCCAAACGCAATATCAAGCAGGAGGCCACAGATACAATATAGTACTCAATAGAGAAACCATCTCCAGTATAGTACTCACATCATCACTTCCACGCTATATCAATATGTAGGCCAACGACATTTGTAGCTACCTTAACAACAGCTTGACTTTTATACTGAAGAATCCACACCAACGCTCCAACAATATCAACAACCGAGTCCTGCAACTATATCGAGCAAGCGCAGAACCAAGTTACTTGAGGAGAATATGAAGAAGTTCTGATGCCATCGATACCGAAAGCTAACCTTCACTTCACTCTGGCGGGAGATATCCGGGGTCATGCTCTCGAGGAACGAAGAAATTGAGCGAAGGCCGTGCCATTGTATCCAGAACCTAAACCAACAGCTTCAAGTTCAAATCGTCGCCGTTGTAGTGTTGGGCGGTAGATTGATCGACATCGCGTCCTTTCTCAAGTCCTTTATTCTGCTTCACTGTGTCAAGAACCAGTTGGTCCCAATAACTCGAGTTGTTGAGAGAGGTTCAATCGTGGATCTTATACCACTCTCTAACACGCCCCCTCAAACGAAAGCCAACCTACGGGCTTGAAGTTTGCACAGGCCCACCATACCATGTGCTTGAAAGACAACGGTTAATATTGGGGGTCGTGGAGATTCGAACACATGACCTTTCGGTTCTAGGCTCTGATACCATGTCAAGAACCAGTTGGTCCCAATAACTCGAGTTGTTGAGAGAGGTTCAATCGTGGATCTTATACCACTCTCTAACACACTGGACTCTTTTCCTGCCGCACTCGAAAGAGTCGGCGGTGATCTCGCGAGCGAATGAGTGAGTGGCGATCTCGCGGGGCAAGGAGTGAAGGAGCGGCTTCGCGAGGAAGTTGTCCCTACGCCTCCAGATCTTGCTCTTACCGCCGCATCGCGCTTCCAAATCAGTGCCATTACGTCGTTGATTGCTCCGTTCGAATCATGTTTGACCTAAGCCAAGAGATTGCTCGAAATCTAGATCATGAACTCAATTCACCGCTTATGAACTCAACTCACTGGTACTGCAGCTCGGAGTAGCAATGATAATTGGTTTGGATTCAATCTCGGAGCAACAAGGGTTCGAAATTGGGGATTTCAACGATTGATTCGATCTCGTTGGGAAGTGATGGAGTGGCCGCACTTAGAAGTGAAAATGGGGGAGACTAGATCGTCATAATGCAAGATACTTTGATTCCGCCCGTCGTAGCCTTAGAATTTAGCAAGAGTTTGAAAATGGAAGGGGGGAAGTGGAGGGACGAGCGGTATGGTCAGTGGCAGCGCCCAGCGCCAGCGGGACTTGGTGTATTAATTTATAAAAATAGTGACCAATAATTTTGGTCGAAAAATAATTTTCCAATAAGTAACAATTAAGTAATGTTTAAGTGAACAAGATTATTAGTTGTTTCGCAGATTACTTAACTCACTGATAATAATTTTGGTCAGAAAAAATGTTTCACTTTTTTAGCTACTAATTTTTTTGGTTGCGTTGCGTATATTTTAATATGGTTGTAAAACGTTAAATTTTAGGTAGTGACCAATTCTTATAACATTTTACTACCAAAATATAATAAGTTATAAATACTTAATTTTTGCCGACCAAAAAAAAAAAAATTAGTTGCGCGAGAAATAGTCACAAAAGATCCTTTTTGCTGTAGTGCTTCTCGAGTATCGTTGAGATTCATTCATAATGGCGAGAAGTCTGGACACGGCAGCATTGCATGAAACAAGTTCCTTGCACTTACAGGGGCAATTCTTACCCTCTTTCCATGGTTATGGGAAAAAAGAACATTTCTATCTGCTGTGTCAACTTTCTACTTAGTAACTGGAACTTACCTCGGCAAAAATGGAAAAGCTTCAGGCCAGCGTTTAGATGGAAGATTGTTGCTTCAGCTTGGCACTGCCACCTTGAAAATATTGATCATCAGTGGATCAAAGCATTTCCCTATTTAATACATTTAGGGTTAGGGTTTTCATGGATCGAATAGAACTATTCTTCTAAAACCACTGGGAAATCAAACTCCTCCTGATTTACTTTGAAGTGTCAGCAAAAGGCAACAAAGCCTAACTGTTATGATCAACCTTTTCCTTTATCCATTTATAAATTAACAGTTTGGAATGGAGAAAAGTGGAGATAATACAAAGTTGGAAAAACAACTCTACAAATCATATCTGTACTGCATAACCACTTTACAATCTACTTCTGCTAAATGTAACAGTGAAAAAAGAAAACAGCTTCTAGGTTTCTTTAGCAGAAAAGTGAGGAGCTTCTAATGCTTTTTCTTGTCTGACCTTTTACCCTGTGAAGACGGATACATTTTGGGCAAGCACTCCTCAGGATCTAAGTAGAAGTAATCCTCTTCTTTTGGCTTCCCAGGGATCTTCAGTCTCTCAACAGGTCCACCCATTAGCCCTCTGTGAGCCTTCTTCACTGAATCAGAAAACTCACCCCACCTCATTTTCCCGCTTTTGTACTTGTCTATCAGTGTCATTAGAACCTTTCTATCCAAACGTATAGTCGTCTTGTATCCCAGATACCGGCGGTGGCCTTCCACAACTTTGGCCATGTTACCATCATAGCTTGGGGCGAAAATGTCACTAGCCAATGACACAATATAATCCACTGCTGCCATCCTGTTTGAATGGTCCTTAATCTCTCCCAAATCTGAACTTGGTAGCAAAGTTTCCTTCTTCACCTGACAAACCAACAGAAATCAACCATCATCACTAGACTAAGCATTATCCTGAACCATATATCTGAATGCTGTTATTTCATGATTCATTTAACTGACTTAACTAACCAGATTTGGATAGAAAGCTCTAAGACCCTCGAGTCTCTTTTCCTTTCCATAAATCTCCCCGGCAGCAATGTAGACTTGGATCTCCGGATCTATGTCGAGTGCTTTCAGTGCAAGCCCAACTTCACCTGGAGTCATTGGGCATAACCCTTCTTCCCTTTTCTGTGTCGAGTTTATCTTCTTCTCCTTCCACCATGGACATGCATACCTTTTGAAACATACCTCATGAGAGAAGAAAACCCAAATTGGGGAGACAGGAAGAAACTCTGAATCACAAACCTCATTGACGTAAGCTCGTCTACTTCTTGCTTATTAAGCTCTTTGGTGCAACCAGTGAATGCCAACATATCCTTTTCGTATCTAAGATGAAGAGCCAAGAAGGGACCTTTCTTCCTCAGGATGCTCACGACCTTCTTCCCAATCTTCTCCAAGTGTGGAGTGAACCTTAACCCTTCATAGTAAACCTTGCACCGCATCTTCTGAACATTCTCAGGAAGCTCGTTGTTCGAGAGTCTAGCATCGGTCTTCAGGAAATGGACTATTTCGAACTTTCTGAAGATTGGCAGAACCTGGTTGTCACCAGTAATTTTTCAAGTACTTGGACCATAAACCAAAGTTTAATTGAGAAGGTAAAAAAGCGGGGGAAAATGAAAAACTAACCGTATCATAGTAATAGGACATGTTAGACCAGCTACGAGGTGCCAGTTGAAACAGTGGCCGACTCTTTAGTTTATACTTCTGGTATGGAGGCAACTCTTTCACAATCTTAAGTTCGTCTTTCAAGGAATCAATGAAGTGATCCACATCAAAGATGTCCCCAAACTGACTGCAAAAAATGAGGGTATTGATAAACCGGATTATCCTTTTGTGAGAAACTGTTAGGCAAGTAAATTTGGGTTGATCACCACAATATTGACAGAATTAATTTGAGTTCATCACCTGTTATCTTGCCAAAATGAGGTGTTGTCCAGTTCGGGAACTACAAGCGTCAGGTTTAAGAATCTTGCAATAGTAACCATGTCTGAAATCTGAAAGAAATATGCTTTCAGAAAAATAGAAGACCAAACCAAAATCAACTAAAGGAAAGGGTAGAAAATGTCTCAAGAGTTTTTTCAAACTTACTCCTGAACGCATTTGATTTAATCCTCCATTGGATGACACAGTCAGATATCCATTGTTGCGGTAAACTCCTGGAGAAAAGCAAAAATCAGAGTAAGAAGCTTTTACCCTATGCTGCAATAATTGTCTGGGGAGTCAAGAGTAAAGGAAAAACTATATGTACTTTCAGGTATGATAACAGCAGGATGGATAAATTTCAAAGTTGCTGCTGGCCACTTGGCATTCTGGAAAGCCATTGACTGCATTCCACAAGTCCACATCACAATCAGCAGCAATGTGATTCCTATAGCCCAGAACCTGGATTCTCCAGGTGTAGAAGAAGCAGGATTGCTGGAATTCGACTTGTGAGTTTTCACTGCTCTGATGATCAGGTTCCTCAGCTTCTCACATTTGATCCCTCTGCTGCCAACCTTGTACCCCATCTTCCCACTTGGTTTGTCCTCGGACTCACCTGGAAGAACGCCAACCTTCGTACAACTGATTTTGTCCATTTCTTGGAACTGCCTGTCTGATTCTCTAATCAAATAGAAAAAGCTTGAGAGGCTCTAGTAGCAATGTGGCATGTTGGGAGGGAAAGATTCTCTTTTTGACTTTGGTGGATTGATATTGCCAATGGTGGACTGTCAAACCAGATTCCTGAAACTGTATTCCAGGAAGCTAGATTTGGCAAGCACAAGACTTCTCTTTTGGGGTGGAGAGTATTTGCAGGCTTTTTATTAAAGGGAAAGAACAAGATGGGTGGTTATTGTTTGTAGTATAGATGAAATCTTTTTCACTTGTTCTTGTCAATTCTGTGCAAGTAATCACATGGGCAGATTTGTTATCAGCAGAAAGTTTAGATCTTTATTGTTCCCAGTGGGGTCTGGTATTTAACTGCACTAAGAAAAGGGTGAAGGAAAAAGAGTTACTAAATGGATTCAGACATGATTCTGGGTCAGCTTCTTCAATAACTTCCTGGTGCCAGCAGGCAACCCTTTTCCTTCTGGTACACAAATCTTGATTCATGTTGCCTATCTAGGCAAGTTTTCTTCCTCCCAAATTAAGTCGGGATGTTCTTATTATCATTATTATGATCATTATCATTCCTTAAGTACGGGATGCTATCTTATAATTAATGCAAAATTACTGTCAAAGCCGTCAAATTCAGTCAGTATCCCAACAATAAATTCCCAATTAATATTTGACTTATCTCGCATAGATACTCAAAAAGCAACACATTCTGATTTATGCCACGGGACCAAGAAAGACGATGGACATGGATCATCTTGGCATTTGTGGCACAGATGACAGAACAATGAATTTTGATTGCCAAACACATTCATAAAACAAATGCTAGTAATATCAAAGAAAGGAACTTTGCAATATGACCTCGTTACTCGATTAAGGCGAAACCTAGGAATTACAAGAGAATATGCAAGGCATTCACGAATTACATTTGAACATGAAAATCCTCATGATACTGCTGGCAAGCAAGACTGGAAATATAATACCAGGGCAGAATCTTGTCTTTTCTTTGCCGCCGCGTACAAGCTCTGTTCCTCCATTGCTGCTGCAGGGTTCATCCCCTGCCCCTGATCAATTAATCCAAGAAGAGCCTTTCTGTTTATAACTACGGTCTTCTAGACGACTTTCAAATCTAAAAGTTGTCTAATGTAAAAGCTAATAATGCATAGTTGCTGTGAGCTTTAAGTCTCAGCCAGCTTTCAACCTCCAATCTTGTACCTCAAAAATGGCGAACAAAGTACTGGTATTTTGCCAGATAACTCAAAACAATCTTCTTGTGCATCGTAGTAGTTGAACAGACTACAATTCATTGCCTTCCTCTATCCATAGTATCAGCATTCAGCACCAAGAAGCTCATCATTTTTCAGATTACCACACACATTACACTCCAGCAAATTAGATGAGTTACCATCTGATGGAGGCAAAGGAGCCATTGTCCCCCAGCAATTCTCCACATTACACATGTACCTCAAGAAGAAGTAAGCATGAGGAAAGTCTTCTCGGGCTTCATCATCACCCGAATGAAGATCTTCTTCCCCTGCCTCCATTTCCTCATCTTGGTCCTCATCCATCTCCTCCACCTGGTCAGTCTCTCCCCCGTCGTTTTCCTCTTGATCCGAATCAGACCAATTCGCTTCAACTTTACATCGGTCACAATCACAGGCGAATCCATAATCCTCAAGCAGTCTCTTCTGCCGACATGAGTAGCTCTCATTGACTGGAAAATAACTAAGGCAGATCTCTCTGCCCTGAGGGACATCGTGAATCATCCGAATGATGATGTCGGTATTAGAACCGGACTCCGAGTCCACATAATCAAATCTACAAGCATTCGGGAGGCAATCGTGATTGAACAGAGAAGCTCTCGGGTAGATACCATAAGCCCTGACCGACCTCTCCCCACGAATGTTCTCCATCAAACCGAAAGCATTGAGCTTGTCCCGCGCCAGAAGAGAGGATGTCAGTTCCAACGTAAAGGCAAACCCTTGCGCTGTGGTAGGAGGCGGGCAAAGCGTGGATATAAGGGAGTGCAGGAAAACGGCAGCTTTCGCTGATGCAACGTCATCACCACTGTGGGTGGATTGGAGAGACATCAGAATTTGGAACTGGGAAGGGTTCACTATAGCTAGATTGTAGGCAGCCACGAGATACCGAGCTTGAACCTGGCGCTCCAGAGGCTGATGAACAGTAAGATCAGGGTAATTACTTAAGCGAGCAAGGGATTGGCATACCCAAGGAGAGTGAGAGGAGGCAGCTGCAACTGAGAGGCAGTTAGTGCTGCAGAAATGGTGATTGTTGTTGTGAGAGCATGAAGGGCAAGGTATTGCAGCTGAAGCTGGCTGTATCCTTCTGAAGCAATTGTCACAGTAGAGAGCGGAGGTTGAATGGACTTGCTGCTGCGGATTCAACGGGCGAGTAGAGTAGAGGAGAATCGGGGAATCTTTGAGCACAACTTGACCACCTTTCAATGGCTGAGATGAAACCAAACCCCTTCCTTTCCCATGAATCTCTTCAACCTTCAATCCCTCTCCTACCCACATATTTAATTCCAGTGTTGTTTCACTGCAAGCATGAAGAAAAGAAGGTGCAAAGAAGAACACAATTACAGTGAGTGAGGTTCCTCCTAGAAAATCCTAACCAGTATGCAAGTGAATTTGAAAACGAGTTATCCTTTTCTGCCATGTATTTAACATCTGTGTACACGCGACAACTGGGCTCACCTGAGCGACGGCGGCGGGATCGATACCGGGGGGAAAAGTGTGGCGGGCGGCGGCGGCTGGGAACTGAACTGAGGTAAACAGCGGAGTTGGAAGAGCGTGTAACTGTAAGCCTAATCATAGGGAAGACGGAGCAGCGATCTCTTGTGGGCTGGGTTTATGGGCTTCGTAGGCCCAGCTTGGAAACAATTGGGTTATGTTGCCCCATGAGTCATATCCGATTCCCGCTCGGATTGCTTGTCAAGGAGTCAGATTTTGGTGCGGAATGGTACAACCGTACAAGTACAACTTCCGCCAACCTAGGCACCTAGCTATTCTACTAACAGCACTTTTAGTTGGTCACTTGGTCATATACTCATGGTGGATGAGATGGAAGGCCACATACACAAAGTGAAGATCCATAGGCGGGGGCTCAATGGCTCAATGAAAAGCTCATTTAAGTAGATTTTGGTGAATTTATATCTAAACGAGAAAAACTGATATTCAAAATGGACGAACTAGTAGTCATATTCAAACCAACTAGTATTTCAGGTTTGTTAAATGATATTCAACATGAAAACAAGTACTAAAGTATACATGAGAGCACATACTAGTATCCAGAGAGCACTGCAAGTATCCAAGCATCACAAAATTAATATACAACTCACAGAATTAGTATTCAGCCAATCAATTATCAACTAATATCCACAATCAAATCATCTAGTACTCAAAGTTTGATAACTGATATCCACCATATTCTGCATTCATGAACTAATATCCAGACAACACATAATAGTATCCATACATCACATAATTAGTATTTAGTCAATCAATTACGAACTAATATTCATGTTCAAACCAACTAGTATTCAAGGTTTGCTAAATGATATCTAGCATGAAACAATATATTCACGAACTGATATTCATATAACACAGAAGAGTATCCATACTGCATAGAACTAGTATTCAGAAGAAAAAAACACATTTATGAACTTGTAACCATGACATTAAATAGCAACAATCTTAAAAAAATACTAGAAAGCCACCGAAAATACCTAGAAAAGCAAGAAACCCAAAAAAAACTAAGAAACCAAAGAAAACCCAAAAAGACAAAAAGACAAAAAAATCCAAAATATAGAACAGTCGTTGGAGAGGAAAAGCCTACCACAAAAACAAAACCCGCAACATCATATCTTCATTAGAGACACTTCAAGCTCTAGTGATCCAAAAATGAGCAATACTAAATCAGATCTAAATTCCTTGGGAGAAAGTAGAGCAAAATTTTCAAAATAAAAGAGAGGAAGGCAAAGCCAGGGCCGTCCCATGATATTAGGAGGCCCTGTTCGAAAACTTAAAATGTGGCCCTAAAAATTTTTTCCCGCAAATTTATTAAAAAATAAAAATTATTAAAAAAGTTGCATAAACTCGGAAAATGATTACAAGAGGAATAATTGATCACGTTTCTAGTTTGACCAAGAAACCAATACCAAATTCCCAGTCCTAGTAGGGAGGGAAGTAAAGCTGGAGGGAAGAGAAAATAGATATAGCGCAAAAATTGAATGGAGAAATGAAAATAGTCTAAATTGATCGCGAGAGGTGTGTACGGGGTTGTCTAATAGATCGTGGAGGCCATGTTCCAAAATTGAGACGTGATCCAAATTGAGTTTTAACTATAATAAAACTAAAATGATTATATTACCATTATTCAACATGTAATATCTTTCTATATTGTTTAAACTAAAATTATCTATTATCTCTATGATTTTCGTAGTCTTAATGAGATCATTTTTATTTGTTATTATAGCTAAAATTATCTATTAAACTCGTCATCATACTCATAATCAATCAATCATACACTAAAAATACAACCTACAATATACGATCGGTAACTAACTTATCTAAGTGGAGGCCCCAAATATTCGGAGGCCCTGTGCCGGAGGGCGGGCCAGCACACCCTCTAGGCCGGCCCTGGGCAAAGCTAACAGGTTCCTCATCGATAGAGACAAAAATAGAGAGGGGAAATGAGAGGATGACCATATAGAATGTAGGATTAATTGCATTACATGTCATTGAGTTTCAGTTAGTAACCTAACCAAACAATTTTAGACTGAGTTGGCATGTTTATATGGATGGAAAATTATGTTTTCATACTCGCCGTTAAGTTTTTAGACGGAAAAGACAACTGCGCAACGAAATTTGGCTTTAAGTGGTTTAGTTGAAACTAAATGAATTTAAGTGGTTAATGTGCAACCACTTAAATGCATCTAATGCAATTAACCCATAATTGTGAGGAAAAGAAGGAGAGTGCAATTGACAATTTTAGAGAGGCCATCTCCAATTCCCAAGATATTTTTCCGGGGCATCACAGTCATTTTATCTAAATTCTAATCCTTGCTCTCCCAAAATGAATTGATGGGATGTCAAGAGAAAGATGATCGGTGATTCAAAATCGGCATCAATGGAATTTATGTGTGAACCCGTGAGAGGGGGAGAGAGATTTTGTCCACGATTTAGTGTCGACTGTTGGAAATCTAGCGAGACAGAGAGTCTCTTTATGTTTATAGTTGAAAGATTTTGGTGTGAAATTTCAATCAGTCTATTTGAATTGTAAATTGCCTTTTATTCCCTCAACCAATACATGATTACATTCAGAATATTTGATTTGTATTATTTGTGTCGCATTTGTAACATTTGTTAGTTGGTTTGCAATGTCTAACTTGAAATACATAAAGATAGGGGGGAAGACAGGCGATGGCAGGCACCTCTGTCGTCAAATGTAGGTTAAGAGACGTGACGACTGATTGGTGTCACTGGATAAATAAAGGAGAATGGAAAGAAAGAGAAAGGTTGAATATACAAATTTTTGAAAAGAAAATAGAAGGAATCGCACGACAATGCAATGAGATATTGCCTTCCAACTAGAACGAGCTAATAAATAAAAATACCTATGACCTAATTACCCGTAATATCACCAATAATGAGCACCACAAATATCACTTTCAAATCAAGCAAAGACTATATAGATATAATATATCAAATCATTTATAATAAAAATATTGATAAACGTAAATAATACAAAATAAAACGTTCCAATCACTATATTCTTTTTCTTGAAATCATGATTTTTTTATAGAAAATTTAATATTCACAATAAGTGATTGTATGTTTGAACCATGGAGTATGTTATTTAATCAAAGGTTGGAAAATGTTTAGAAGATTTGAGATTTTGAAAACTATAATACCCTTAAACTATCATCATATGTTAATGTCAACTCTTAACAACCCCAACTTTTTTAAAAATATATAGTAGTTACTAATTAATTAGTATTTAATCATTTATGTGTGCTTAACTGTTACTCATTTAGATGATTGTTGACCATAAAATTTGAACCTATTAGATGAACCTATTAATAATATCGGTATGAAGAAATACCTTTTAAGCAAATTATACTAACAATAAGTAGTTCGATTTTTTTTTAATATGAAATATATGTAGACTTTAGTAACTTAGGATAACTCGATAAAAAATAGATGAACTAATTACTACTAATGTCACAATTATAAAGTAGCACAAAAATTATTTTCGACTTTTAATAAACTACTGGGAATATCTTAAATCATTTCAAAATATGAATGAATTGATTATCATAAAATAAAAGGGGGAATTCTAATGTACCGTTCCGGCACCCATGCTGCCTATTTTCCACCTGTTATTGCCGGTTACAATTGAATGAAAATAATAAACAAATATTGACTCCGGTGATTACCATTTATCAAAGATAAATACTCCCATAATGTTATTATCGAGCCAGTTTGCTTTAATTATTTACATTTCCCTTTTTTATGGTGCTTTAATTATTATTCTAAAAATATTTATACACTTTTTATCAATATTGTGGTCGTATCGTATGTACCATACCCTACCCTACCCATGTTATAATTTTTGTCCTAATTATTCGTATCAAAACGTATTTGTGTGTATACAAACTTATTCATAAGAAATTTCATATATTTTTCATATTTTTATCTCATGATCTTCCTCGCTCAATGCATTCTTCAACTAAAATTTATACGCAGATTTGATACAAGTTAGGCTACGATAACATTTTTTCCGTGTATACAATTGTAGAAGTATAACATATTTTTTTATTGAGTTGATTATTAATTAAATGAATTGTCCACCTGTCCCAAACCAATCATACAGAAAACGTGGGGTTCTAAATTCGCTTTTGATCTACAGAGAGTCGTCCAGTTTAAGAGTGGATTTTCCTACCGGCCTTCTTGCCTTTCCCCCCCTATAGATCAAGTCCATTGCATTTGGCTCTCCTTAGTTGTTCTGTTTTTCTAGTTACGTAAGGATACTTTCTGCTGTCGGCAGATATCTGCCTCTATTTATTATAAATACTAAAGGAAGAGTAGCTACTGGATTCTCTCATAAACAATTTACGCGCTTTCCCCATCACCATCATAAAAAGGATGGTATTTGCCTAATTGAATACAATTAAAGGGTACTTTTCCTCCTTCTCCTGATCAACTTTAACTATTTCCAAATTCTTTTAGATATACCTTAAAACTGCATAAATAAATAAAAATATTGTAAATTAGAAAAAGTATTGGAACCAAATATAAAATATAGTTATTAGAATCAGATTGGTCGGTCCGCCTGCATAGCCCTCAACTGATCACCAATTTGGCTCGATCATCCATTGAACCGGTAAGAGTAAGCCAAATACTTTTTAAGTGAGCCAAATGGATAACCGAACAAAACGTTCTAGCAAGACACTTTGTCTTCGATCATCCATTTAGCCGGTAAGAGCATAAAAGTGAGCCGAACAATTTGTAAG